GAAGTTATATAACACAGCTTAAAATAGAAGAAAAAGTGCTAATGAGTCCAAATTATCATATTTCCTTATACAACTAGATCATGCAACATCCGGATGTTATTGCCTAGCATTATCAAGAAAAGCAGCTGGAATCGCTAGCGTGGCATTTGCGAAACGTCAAGTAGAGAAAACATATTCCGCAATTGTGAGAGGATGGATGAAAGAAGATAAGTAAGTACTTTAAAATTTTAAACGAGTTCTGATAGGTTCTTTAATAGTTAAATAATAAATATATATACAGTACAGGACAATATAAGATATCCACTTTTTTACGTAGTAAAAAGCGCCAAATTTTAAAAAAATCTTTATTAGTAAAATTTATAATAAAAAAAATTGACCAATCAAAATTAAGCAAAGTTTTAATATAAATGCCAAATTTTGAGTATATATATTATAAACTGTTATAGCTTTTTAAAAATTAAAAAAAACCTCTATCACAAAACTATAAAGAGGGATTTTATTTTAACCTGTTTTAAAAAAGTTATCACAATTTAAAATTTACTATATAAAAACGGGATATCTTGTACTGTATAAATTAACAAACAAATAAATAAAAAGTTATGTAGTAGACCAATCAATTGCCCAAGTTCCAAATAATCGATATCGAATGTGTATCGGAACGCCTGAAAATCCTGGGAAGGTACTTTAGATTCTACGTATTATTAAATAACAATTTATTTTTTTTATCAACATTACTTTCTAACACACCTATCATATTTCAAAGCCCGCAAAAACGAAACTTGAAGTTATCCGCCGTGGATATTTTTATTCTACTTCATCTCCGTCTGTTCCTTCAGGATCATCAATTAAAGTAACTTTAATAAATCTCTACCCAATTACAGGTCGAAGACATCAACTGCGATTACATTGTCAATATTTGGGTCACCCAATTGTTGGTGATTGGCATTATGAATCGCAAATTATGGAATATACTGATACTTTTCGTATGATGTTGCATGCTCTCAAATTGCGTATTCCACTAAACATTGTACAAAATATAAAAATGAAACATACGAAAAATATGGATGTAAACGTTAAGGATGATGATAATTTGGAAGATTTGCATGAACTTGATGTTGTATCCGAAGATCCATTTCCGGGATTAGTTTACGATTGTGCAAAGAATGAAACATGATAAATGTGGTATAGAGTAATTAATGATGTATTAAAAAAACTATTTCTTGTAATTAAAAGTAACGTCACGAAGGTAATATAACGATAAGCAAAAATTAAAACATTATGCCAAATTGGGTTTTATATACTAGAAAAAAAGGTTGATTTTAATGTTTACAGGAGACAAAGTTATATGATATGCTATTTTCAAAACAAGCTTTAGTAATTGGAATAAAAAGTTGTGAAATTCTATTTTGGGTCAAAATAACCCTTGCGACCAGAATTATGTTGATGCCTGCCAGAGTTTTTTTTAATATAAAAACCTGCCGGCATTAACATAATTCTGGCCCGCGCTAACCCCAAATTCTAGGAAGTGGTTATTTTAACCCCCCTAGCATCACCACCCTAAAAAATTTCGCTACTATTTCGCCAGCCAATCAGAATTCAAGATCCGGTGTA